CCTCCCTTCCTCCCTTCCTCCCTCCCTCCCTTCCCTCCTCCCTCCCCTCCTCCCTCTCTCCCTTTTTTCCTTTCTCCTTTCCCAAAGCTTTTAGACCCCACCAAAAGTGGGCCCTGGTGGGAAGGGGAAGTCATGTGTCCATCCTCCACCCCAACTCCCAGGCAGGTGGGGGCTAACAGGGCAGGCTCTGCAACACCACAGCAGGTTCTAGGCCTCAGTTTCCCCATCCTCAAAGTACAAAGAATCCTAGAGCTATTCAGATTCATGGAGATGCTTAGCCTGGCCTTCTCTCCCACAGAAGCTTCACACCTATTTCCCTGTCTCCTCGCTGGGGGTGCTGCAGGAGGACTCGTCCAACATCGTGGAGCTGCTGGAGGAGGCCTTCAATGTGAGGGCAGCTCGGGCTCCAGAGTCTGAGCCCTTCTGGGGCAGGGCAGGAGGTGGACAGGGTGGGCAAGAGGTGTCTTGGGTCATGGTTGCAAAAAGGGTCTGGGACAGGCCAGTGAGGAAGGGTCTCTGGTTATCCCTGAAGCCCTGAGGGGCCACCTGGGCCTGGCCCTGGCTCCTGCAGGCTCTGTAGCACCCCACATGATGCCAGTCGCACTTGGGGGTTGGGGTGGAGCACAGCCAGACCCCCCACAGAGCACTGACCAACCTCCTTCCTCCTTTAGCGAATCCGCTCCAACCTGGACATCCGGGCCCTAGACAGCCCCCGAGGCTTTCGGACAGAGGTCACCTCCAAGATGTTCCCGAAGATGAAGACTGGGTCCTTTCAGATCCAGCGGGGGGAAGTGGTACGCCCCTGTGGGGGTAGCGGGGTGGGGGACAGGCATAGCGCCCCGCACGGAGTGGAATCGTCTAAAACAGCAGTCAAGAGCGTGGTCCCTGGAGTCGGGCAGGCCTGGGTGCAGATCCCTGGGTCTGGCCGCTTGGATGAGCCTGGCATGCTCCTCTGCTTGTTGGCTTCCTCGGCATGCGAGCGTCGAGCCCCGAGGCTTGCTGGGGCAGTAAATGGGTTAGTGTCACGAAGCCCAGAGGCCCTGGCCACTGTCATTGTCGCTGTGATTGTGACTGGCTGGGAAGGAGGGAGTTTTCAGCCCTGAGGGAGGTGAGCAGGAGCTCGTATCAGGGATCCAGACATCTAGGAACTTGGTGATCGAGGGCCTTCAGGCATCAGTGACCCTCTGGTCCTTGGGGCTGGGCCTGCCTTGGCTGACCACGGGGCCCCTGCAGGGCATATACCAGGTGCAGCTGCGGGCCATCGAGCACGTGGATGGGACGCACGTGTGCCAGCTGCCGAAGGAGGACCAGAAGGGCAACATCCATCTGAAACCTTCCTTCTCCGACGGCCTCAAGATGGACGCGGACATCATCTGTGATGTGTGCCCCTGCGAGCTGGTATGACGCAGCCCCGCTGGGCGGGAGGGGAAAGCTGAGCGAAGCACCCCGGGGGCCCGAGGAATGAAGCAGGACTCCTGTGCCCCATCTCCCTTGTGGGATGTCCTGAGGCACACAGGGCAGCAGAAGTGTCCAGTGGTCCCGGTCCTGCTCCCCCAACACACCCCATCGTGGTCTTTCTCATTCCAGCAAAAAGAGGTGCGGTCAGCTCGCTGCAACTTCAATGGAGACTTCATGTGTGGACAGTGTGTGTGCAGTGAGGGCTGGTGAGTGGGGAAGAGAGGTGGGCATCGAGGACACCAGTGGCCCCTGATGGGAAGGCTGGGCTCCTGCAGGGACCTCACCCTGGGTGCACCTTGTATACCTGGCCGGGGGTGGGGCGGCAATCAAAGAAATGGCTAAGGGTGGGGCACACCCAGTTGTTGGTCAAACCCAGCTCAAAGCACTTTCAAATAGAGAGATATATGGGCTGTCTCTAGAAAGAGATGCAAGGATTGAGACGGGGATGGCTGCTGGGGCTGGAGTCTGGATATTGGGGAACAGGCACAGGAGGAAGACTTCCTTTTCGCTCCGTGCCTTTGGTATTCTAAGTCCTGTGTCATATTGCCTGATCAGAAGAGAGCTCATAAACACATGGCAGTAAGGACTTTAGCTTCACGACACTGGACGAGCTTGTCACCACTTGAGGCAGAGCAGTGACGAAAGGACACTGGAAGGGATGGCATGACAGGGCGCTGGGGTTTAGGTCTCAGCTCAGCCACTTCTGTCTGCATGACTAGGAGCTGCCTCAGCTTCCTCATCTGTAAAATGGGACAGCAGGCCAGGCAAGGTGGCTCACGCCTGTAATCCCAGCACTTTGGGAGGCCGAGGTGGGTGGATCACCTGAGGTCAGGAGTTCAAGACCAGCCTGGCCAACATGGTGAAACCCCATTTCTACTAAAAATACAAAAAATTAGCTGGGTTTGGTGGTGCATGCCTGTAATCCCAGCTACTTGGGAGGCTGAGGCAGAATTGCTTGAGCCCGGGAGGCAGAGGTTGCAGTGAGCTGAGATCATGCCACTGCACTCCAGCCTGGGTGAGAAGAGCAAAACTCTGTCTCGAAATAAAAAATAAATAAATAAAATAAAATAAAATGGGACAGTAAAAGCCCCAGCTTTCCTTCTGGGCTGTTTCGGGGAAGTGACCAGTTCCTCCTTCAGGAGTGGCCAGACCTGCAACTGCTCCACCGGCTCTCTGAGTGACATTCAGCCCTGCCTGCGGGAAGGTGAGGACAAGCCATGCTCGGGCCGTGGGGAGTGCCAGTGCGGGCACTGTGTGTGCTACGGCGAGGGCCGCTACGCGGGTCAGTTCTGCGAGTATGACAACTTCCAGTGTCCCCGCACTTCCGGGTTCCTCTGCAATGGTGAGCACAACAGCTGCGGCCAATGCTGACGGCGGGGTAGGTGGTGGACAGCGAGCATGACCTTCCCGTCATGACCCGGGTTGGGAGAGCCAGGCTTGGAATCAGAATCCCCAAGTTCAGGCCCAGCCCACTCTGGATGCCCTGAGGGCTGCCCCCGAGTCCCGCCCCAACCTGGGCCTCACTTCCCTCATCTGCAACATCCATGCCCAAGGCCACTGCTGGCAGGAATTTCCCCTGGTTTTAAGAGTCCAACTCCCCTGAGGTTCTCTCTGGCAGTTCAGTTCTATGCCTACCCCCCTTCTCCACACCCCTAGCTCATTAGAGTGCGTGCCCCCAGCTCAGTCCTCCAATGGCTGGCAGATATATGGCATTATGATCTTTCCTCTCTCCAAAGATGCTAAATTTGCACGTGTGTGTGTGTGTGTGTGTGTTTGTTGTTGTTGTTGTTTTGGGACAGAGCTTTGCTCTTGTCATCCAGACTGGAGTGCAATAGTACAATCTTGGCTCACTGCAGCCTCCGCCTCCCCAGTTCAGGCAATTCTCCTGCCTCAGCCTCCCTAGTAGCTGGGACTATAGGCATGCACCACCATGCCCAGCTAATTTTGTATTTTTAGTAGAGACACGGTTTCACCATGTTGGCCAGGCTGGTCTTGAACTCCTGGCCTCAGGTGATCTGCCCACATCAGCCTCCCAAAGTGCTGGGATTACAGGCGTGAGCCACTGCACCCAGTCCAAAGATGCTAAATTTCTAGCTGGAGGGCCTGGAGCTTCCTCTGTATTCCCATGGGTCCAGGCCATAGGCACACAGTCTGGCCAGGAACATCAGATCTAGGCAGGGTCACAGAACTCAGATACGGCAGCATGTGGAAGGATTGGTAGTTGAATGGAGGAGGATGAATGAAAATCTACTCATCATATACTTATGAAGCCCTCACTGTATACTTTCCAAGCCCCTGCTTTTCTACTCTTTCTTCTGTTCTTGCTTTTGTTCACCTTTTATTCTCTTCAACTGTCTGTTCCTGAGTGTGCTCAGAGAAACAGAAGAGAAAACTGGGCACCACTGGAAAAAGGCAGACAAGTGGCACAGAGGGAAGTATGAGAGAAGAAGGGAGGAAGGTGCCTCTGGGGAAGGAGGCAGGGCCAGACTACAAAGGGCTTCAGTTCTAGTTCAGAGCAGGATTTCATCCTTTGGACAAAAGGGAGTCACTGGAGGTTTTAATTTCATTTTCTAACTATTTGTATATTAACCTTGTATCCAGCCACCTTGCTAAACACACTTATGGAACCTAATAATTTATCTGTAGATTCTTCTGCATACTTTGTGACATGTTCCTGATACTTGCAAATAATGACAATTTTATTTATTTATTTATTTTTGAGATGGAGTCTTGCTCTGTCACCCAGGCTGGAGTGCAGTGGCATGATCTCAGCTCACTGCAACCTCTGCCTCCCAGGTTCAAGCAATTCTTCTGCCTCTGCCTCCCAAGTAGCTGGGATTATAGGGGCCCGCCACCACACCCAGCTAATTTTTGTATTTTTAGTGGAAACAGGGTTTCACCATGTTGGCCAGGCTGGTCTTTTTTTT